ATGCAACCATTAGCCAAATATACTATCAATAAAATCCTGGGTCACAAGTACTCACCTTAATATTTAAAAAAAAAATAAATAAATTCAATAGTAGTATATTTTAGATTTAGGAAGCATGCATAAAATAGTTGCTAGTTAAGCATATATTATTCTTGATATATTATTTCTATACAAAAAGATTGAGAATTCTAAATTCTTTACTTTATTGTGCTACTGATTTATGCATTATCTCTATATAGAAAGGTTAAGATTTTTAAATTTTTTGCATTATACGTACATATGTACATAAGTTGTAATAAGAAAATAGATTCAGATTGTCATCACTAAGTTAGCTAAATATACCAAATCTATTATATATAACTTGTACTGTACATACATATATTTGAGAAAATTAATTAGTGATGAAAATATATACAGTATAAAGACCCAAATTATTATATACCATGCAATAAAATAACTTATCTTTGAGTTCCAACTATGAAACTTATTAAAACTCTCAATATTCTTATTTATTATAAATTTGCTAAAGCATATTATTCATTATATTTTTCTGTTACTGTAATTTTTGTAAACTCAATACTATTATTAGCATTAGAAAGAGAAAGATGTTAAATTAGTAATCAACATCATTTTTACAGTATATTAAATATAAACTGATTAAATGAGTAATTAAATGTCATAACTAAGATTTGATTTAGTGAAATATGCTCAAAATTCAAAACTTGATAGTAGATTAAAACTAGGTTCCACTAGAGTAGAAAGAAGTAAACAACATATTGTATATTAATAAAGATTAGGAGAAAGGGCAATAGAAAATAAGAATTTAAGTAATAGAATCAAAGCACTTAGCTTCAATTCTGAGATCACAGTATTAATACTTAAATTACACTAATTCTTTATATATTAATCTAAGTTTAAAGCATATAATAGATTTTAGCAGTTTTAGCATTATATTATATTATCTACTTTCATCAGCTTTCATTATTACAATATAGCATTTTATTATTTCTTGCTATAATATTGATGTAGAAATTTCTAAGCATACTATACTATAATTATATTACATTTTAAAAAAAGTTTATTATTTTATAATGCAAAAAAACTTTTTAAGGTAATATAAAAATTAAAATTTAGATTTACAAGTTTTTTTCTTAGCAGCACTCAGATAATTAATAAATTAGCAAAACATAATATTTTATCTTTGAAAATAAAAATTTTAACAACCTACTTCATTTTAAGAATATTTAGTTTGTACTCTGCTTCAGTATATGATAGATTTATTTTCTGCTTATACAAGTGAGTTAGAAATGCCATTTTATAGCAAAGATCCATTATCAATATGATACAATATGTAATTTTCATATTTGACCCAGTACTTGTCAAACTTGAATTGCATCAGCACAACCATATGACATATAAAAAGGTTTATATTAGCAGCATTTTGTTCAAGATATATCTTGATTTTTACCAAATGAGAAAGAAAAATATTTGATGTCAAATAAATGCTTTTCAATATAATCTTTGTGACTATATTAATGCAAAAAATTAATCATTAGATATATTTTTTAGTAAAATATACAATGCTGTGCTGATTAAAGAACCTAGATCTGAAACAAAATATTTAATTAAAAAAAATTTATAAAATATACAGGTATTATATAGTAGAGATAGTGATAGAACTTTTGAGTTTTTAGTTAATAATAAAAAACTAATAATTAGTTATTACTATTAATAATTTGATTATTACTAAATAATTCATATGTGATTATATTAAAAACTGCAATAATTTTAATTATATATAACAAATCATAAAAATCCAACTTTAAAAGTCCAAAATATTTTAAAAAATTAATAAAATAGAGAGCAATATTGTACTATATATTATTAAATAGTTTTTAGTTAATAACTTGGTTAATTGGTTAACAAATTAATTATTCAAGAGATCACATCACTAGGTAGAGGATCTTTATGTTAACTAGAAAAATTCCAAGTATATACACATTTCTTATTTATGATATGTAGCCTAAAATTTAAAAAACAAAAAAACTGCTTACAACAAACAGAATTTTACCTGAGCATTTTATATAAGGGATATAATAAAAAAAAGACCTTTTAATCAATACAGTACTAACTAGAAAATTATAAATATTTTCATAAAATGACTTTAAAAAGTCACAAATACTTTTGGCTTTTTTCTAGTCATTATTGAAAGACATAATTTGGTCAAAATTAGAATCATGTAATGAAAGACATTCAAACATCTTTTTGTATAGAATTGTTGAAAATAACATGAGATAAACAGAATTCCAACAGATCAGCACATCAAGAGTTGGTCACTAGCTAGATTCAAGTTTAGAGCAATACTCAATTATAGTATTCTCAAAGTTTTGTTGTCAAAGTTGTGAACTGTGAATCCATTTTGCACATTCTTGAACTTGTAATATTCTTAACTATTTTAAGACTATCACCAACTATGAGATTCAAAATATGAGCAATACAACATTGATGTAGAAAAATTTTATTAGCAATAAGCATGTTTTTTTTATTAAGCATAGATTTTATATTATTAATTGTGACATCATTACTGGTTGCATTGTCTACTGCAATTGCTAAAGTTTTTAATGCAATACTCTAATTACTAATACATTTAAAAAACATTTTACTAATACAAACTCCCATATATGGTGCAGAAAATAGTTTAAATACTATAACTAATTTTTGAATTCCTAATCATTATCAAAAAATAGCATGTAACAGTCATGTATCTGAGAGTTTGGTTCAATATTCATAAATCTGTCATATAACTTAAATTTTCTAATACCTCTTGAATTAATAAACAGGTGTTTAATTTAAGATCTTTAATGATTTTTTGTGAATCTTCATGAACTGTTTTTCTATTTATCATTTTAAACTGTGGTTGTAAATTGTTAACAAAGATTAGAAACCCTTTATGTTCAACTATACTGAATGAATATGCATGCATAATAATCATATTAATCAAATCCTGGCAACTTCCTTCTTAAGAAAATTTATAGGTTACAAGGCCTAATAAAGATAACTGTAATTTTTGTTGCAATTTGTCAATTTTAAGATATTTGCTGCATTTGGTATTTTTTATATGCCAAATTAATGTACTAGTTCCCATCTTATTGTTATGCTTTAAAAAATTTTTACAATGTGTGCATTGAGTATAATTTACTAACAAATTAAATTTATAAATATTAATTACTTTATAAAATTAATAATCATAACATTACAAAACATGAACTTTTTATTTTTTTCAGAATTATCAGATTTAGTAAATGACTTTTTTTAAAAACTTATGATTGTACATTAACTATTTTACATTTTTTATTATTGGTAGTAGGTTTAAGACTTTCATCAACTGTGGCTTCAACATTTTCATTAATTATTATAGCACTTTTATTCATAGTAGTTATTTTAGTATTTTTATTTATAGCAGTTATTTGAATACTTTGATTAATAGCAGTTATTTCAGTACTTTCTTTTTCACTTTCATTAATAAGAAAATAGGTGCTTTCTGATTATTATGACAATCTCATAAGTTTAATTTAGAATATAAAAGACTATAAACTCTTTAATGTATTGTTTATTATACCATAATTCATTTTTATTTACCAAGTTTATCCAACAAGACCTTAGATAATGCAATCTATAAAAAAAAGAAAAACTTAGCAATATGCTCTACAATTTCTTTCTTATTTAACTTTTTTAATGTACATGCTTATAACAAATATTCTCTTTTGCACTAAGCCTTCTATAACTCTAATAGCATGCTATTTATTAACAACTTACAATAAAAATAGAACTTAAGTTGATTTCTAACTCATATTGTTATATACTATCTTGCATTATATGTTATGCACTAACTTATATAAAGTAAGCATTATCATTATCATCTTTGTTTTGAATTAATGCAATCATAGAATTTTATAAATGAATTCTGCATTTTATCATTGTCTTATAATAAAAATAATTGTCTTCACAATAGTCATATATGATGAGCACACTAATTCAAAATAGCTATCTTATATACTAATACCAGTTTTAGTAGAAAAAAAATGATAAGTGTATTATTTTTTTTTTTTTTTTGAACTTTGGCGACAATGCCAGTTGGTTTTTATTAGCTTAATCTTTGATATAGTACAA